GTTTAAAGACAATAATGTGATCAAAGATGACCATCCCTCTCCTGGAGTAGCTTTTGTTGGGGTGTCCGGTAGATTCTGGTATTCCAGTCTTATAGACATGTTTCAGTTATACATTTTTACCTTTGACCCAAGAGAGGAAGACCCCACCAACACACCCAGTCAGAAAGAGTCAGACACCCACACAGCACACCTAGAAGCCACACAGAACACCTAGAACCCACACGGCACATCTAGACCCACACATCTAGAACCCACACAGCACACCTAGAACCCACACAGCACACCTAGAACCCACACCTCTAGAATCCACCCGGCGCACCTAGAACCCACACGGCGCACCTAGAACATGTGGCTCCTCCTCAGAGCCTGTCCCATGAGGTCAGACCCTGTTAGTGAGCAGCTTGGAATGGAATTGGCAACCGGTGTGTTGCCTGCCTGATGTTGTGTGTCTTTCCCACACTGCCACTCTAAGAACTCAAGTGACCAGACGCCCATGCTGAGCACACACTGCATTATGCTAAGTACCCACCCAGGAACTGGGGAAGCGAGGCACACTGCCACTGAGGGACGTGAGCCAGCTGATGAAACTCCTTGGCCAGGTGGACCCAAACAGATGGGAACACAAAGATAAACGATGACCTTCCCACCTACCCCAGCACTGGCCACACACTTGTTCCTGGAATATCCGGCTAAAAATACTTCATATGAGCTTACCTTCATTAAAACTTTTAAGCAAGAGAGACACGACGTGTAATTAAGTGCCAACTGAACACACAGCCACCCAGGGGCTTCTTGAAAGAGGACCTGAGCCTTGGAATTTTTTCCTAAAGTCTTATCATTACTTACTCAAAAATACCTACAAGCATATGATGGGCCTGAAGATGAGGGAGAGCCGAGCTTGTTCAATCTGCCCTACCTGTCCCCCAGAAACTCCCCTGGGAGCACAGGGATCTGATGAGGCCATGACCGTAACTCCAGCCACAACTCACAACGGCATTGCCAAGGGCTCTGTCTTAATAGCTGGGCAGGGAACAAATGTGTGCGTTTTCTGGGCCAGATACAAGAAGAATTGGAATCTTAGAAGAATTGGATCCAAGTTTTTTACAGACCTGAGTTTGTGGATCGCTGAGTTAGAGACAGGCCAACACTTCCAGACATTGTGAAGGCTTACCCTGGAAAGGGGTGTATCCAGCCTATGGTGATTTGAAAGAAAAGGCCCCCCAAGGGAGTGGCACCATTAGGGGGCGTGGCCTTGTCGGAGTGGGTGTGGTCTTGTAGGAAGTGTGTCACTGTGGAGGCGGACTTTGAGGTCTGATATATGCTCAAGATACCACCCAGAGTCTGAGTTCACTTCCTGTTGTCCTGGGGTCAAGATGTGGATCTAAACCAATCTTCCCTTAGGTAGCCAGAGCAGCAGAGTTCTAGACCAGTTACCAGGGCTCCAATACCTTGTCTGCCTATACACTGCCACGCCCCCAGCCACCATGACCCACCATGATGACAATGGACTAAACCTCTGAACTGTAAGCAGCCGCCTCAGTTCAATATTTTCCTTTGCAAGAGTTGCCATGGTCATGGTGTCTCTTCACAGCAGTAGAAACCCTGACTGAGCCACAGCCCCGTGGAGATACTGAAAAAGCTGGAGGGTGACATCTGTGCAGGATTTGGCCAGATGTGACAGGGGGAAGGGTGAGCCCCGGCGGCGGAGGTCACAGTGTGAAACAAAGCAGAAAAAGGTGTCAAGGAGTTGCTGACCTCAGTGTCCTCAGGCCAAGGTCACAGGGGAAGAGGAGGAATGTGAGCTGGAGCCCAAAGTGGAAGGCCATGTGTGCTGATGGTGTGGACATCAGGCAGGACAAGTTCTGTCAAAAGAGCCCTCTGGCAGCGTTCAACTACCCGCCCAGGAAGACTCCTCGGGAGCTAATCTGGAGCCTCGGGACCCTCAGCCTGAGGCTCACACCCAAGGGTGATGGTTGGAGCTCTTGCCCAACCCGGAGAGGATGTGGTTGGGTTGAGGAATTCCACTCCAGGTCACTCCTGCAAGTGGAATGTCAGGCACTAGGAGGACACGGCCTGTGTCGACAGAGGCTGCCCATCCAGCTCAGCTTTCTCTATCCCCGGCACATGGTACCTCTGGCCTCTTCCAGAGACCCATCCTAGCTCTGACACCGGGACTTTGGTGTGATTCAGTGGCGGCCGTGGCAAGGGGGATCTGGCCAAGAAGGCTGTCCTGTGGAGAGTCCCGGAAAGCTGGAAGCTGGTCAGCCCTGGTAACGGGTCTAGAACTCGGCGGCTCTGGCTACCTAAGGGAAGATTGGTTTAGACCGACGCCCACCCCCAACACCATTGCTCTAAGTTGTCTTCCTGTCCAGCCCGAGGTCCGTCGCTCTCCCACGCTCCTCCTCCCTGCCCACCCTCCCACACTCCTGCTGCCCCCCACCCACTCTGTCATCAGACACCAGCTCCAGAGAGACCCCCCCCCTTCCCTGTTCCTTCCCTTGCACTGGAGTCAGATCCACGCACCCAGCATTTGAGACTCTGGGCAGCTTGACATTTATAGGACTCTAATTGTTGCCTTAAGGCAGAAACTGTCTCTTCTGCTTCGTACCCCGGAAGCAGAGGCACCTCCCGACCGTGGCATCTTGAGCTCTGCGGGGATCTGGAAAGGATGGGTGGTGGCAGCGTCCGTTGTCCCCTGAAGCTCCCCCCCGCTCAGGACTGGGCCCTGTTCTGCCCAGTTTCTGCCCTCAGGACCTCACAGGCAGGGCATGGGTCATGAGCTCGTGTTCAAGAAAGGTTGCGGAAGGGTTGGGGGAAGCGGAGTTTAAAGTCTAGGTTGAGCTGGGCATGGCGGCGCATGGTGGTGCATGGTGGTGCATGGTGGTGCATGGCGGTGCATGCCTGTAATCCCAGAGGCCAGCGGTTCATCCACGACTTCAAGACCAGCCTAGTCTACATTGAGAGTTCCAGATGTGACAGAACTCCATGGCAAGAGCCTATCTCAAGAGCCAAACCAAACAAACAAACAAACAAAAAGACCCCAAGAAATTGATAAGGTGCTTTTGTAACATGCAAGAGGCTCAGGGTGAATCCCTAACACCACACAGAACAGGGTATTGACGTAAAAACCAAAGCTCTCAAAGGGAAGAAGAGAGTTTATTCTGGAGCCATTCTGGGTGACCACGGTCCCAGGAACACAGATTTAGGTTACCCTGAATTCCATGTTCCAATGTGTGAGCCATTTGTAAAGGTTTTCTAGTTTTACAGAACAGAGGACGTCATAAATTGGGGCAAGTTTAAAATGCACTGGGGGTGCATCAGAGAGGCAGGGACATCGAGATGGGGGGAGCTTTTCTAGAGGCCCAGGGTCCCGTCTGATGGCGCTCTCAGCTTTGGGATCGGTAGAAGCTAGTTGCTTGCTAAGCCGATAGATTCTAGAAAGTTCTTTATCTACTGTCACATGATGTTAGTTCCCAACAAAGATGAGGGCAAGGAATGGCTGTTCTGGAGGGCCAGAACTTAGCCAAAGGTAAGGAAGCCTCTGGACTTGCAACATTCCGGGCTCCACAGACCTGAAATTCTAATCAGCCGATCAGCCTCTGCAGACAGATTCCCTTCAGAAGTTTTTGTTCATAAGGGCATTATAGTACCCATCTGTAATCCTGTAATCACAGCAGTTGGTAGGTAGAGATGGGAGGATCAAGGTCATTCTCTGCTACAGAGTGAGTTCTAGGCGATCCTAGGCTACATGAGAGCCTACCAAAAATAAGGTAAGCCCAGGTTGTGTGAAATGGAGAGATGAGGCCGTGGTAGGGAGAGGGTAGATGCTATCTGCAGCAGCAGAAAAGGCATTTTTGAGGGAGAGTGGGAACAAATATGTGCCCAGAGCCCAGACCCCTCTTCTGAAATGCACATGAGGGTAAATTCCACCATCTTATTATTCTATATGAAGTCATAGTCGAAAAGAGGTAAAAAGCCCAGGGGGAGAACATGAAGGCCCAGGTCTGTGCAGAGAAAAGTAGGGCTGGTTCCCCCTGGGTCAGGCCGCAGCCCGGGCACCTCAGGTGGGGCTCCCAGCACAGCTCAGCTTTCCTGGAGCTGGCATGTGTGGCCACGTGGGCCACGCTTCAGCACGGGCCGTGACCAAGTCTGTGGTCATGCTGAGTCTCTCGGCAGCGGTGGCAGTGGATGAAGGGCCTCACTGCTTGCTGGCCACTCTGGGAGCTGGGCCACAGCCTTGTGTGGGTCTCGGTGGCTCAGCCACTGTGCAAAGGCTACCCCGGCAGCTGCTGCATAATAATAGTATTGCCAATGTGCTGATCTCAAAAACCCCAAAACACTGTGATACTTCCATGCTGCCTGGCCCCCTCTTCCAGCACAGGTGGCCCTCCTTAACGAGGAAAGGCTAGCACTTGACACCACAGGGCATCCCAGCCCTTCCTAGTCCTTGGTGAACAAGAGTGCTAATGATCTCGGTTAAATGCTTTGGCCTTTGGTGATGTGTTCAGGGTAGTGATTCAGAGCTTCTTTCTGACTGCAGGAGTGTGGCCCAGACATACATGCAAGGCAAAACACCCATACACGTAAGATAAAAGGCTGCTTTCTAAGTGTGGCTCTTACTGAGGTGCCTTCCTGTGCCTAGTTGGGCACCGAAGTATAAATCCTGGCCATGTGTTGGTAGTATTCCAGATGTTGCTTAGCTGAGCTTGTGAAAGGGCAGAGTACACCAGGCAGGCCTGGGAGTCCCGGCTGAGAGACATACTGTCTGATCAAGGGCAGATGGCAGGGTCAGCAGGGCAGACACCGGCAAACGCTGAACGGTATCTCATTGTTTGGCTATGAAGAAGGGAAGAAACTGAGGCATGGAGAGAAAGTCTGATGGGCATGTCAGAGGCTGTGCCTTCTGTGGGCTGGGGAGGTGAGCATGTGGGGTTCCCTCCCCCAACCCCAACCTTGGAGGGAAGCCAGGACCTGCTGACTGTGGCTATCCTTCCCTATAGCCTGATGTTCACCAAGGTGAAGCTGGAGCAGGTACTCAAAGGCCCAGAAGAAGCCCTCGTGACCTGCAGGCAAATGCTGAGGCTGTGGCAGACTCTCTACAACTTCTCTCAGCTGGGGTAAGTGGCTGGCATTGCCCCTTGGGTTGTCCCCGGGTAGAGGGCAGAGTTGACAGGGGGTAGCTGCCAGGCTAACAGTTGTCTCAAAGGCCACAGTCCCTGCAGAATGTGGTGGTTGGTTTGGATGGAGATGTGGAACTCGGTGTCTAGGGATGTTTAGATTCATGGCTCAGTTTTCATCCCTTGACAGTCTCCTATACCACACACGAAGACCTGGTTAGAAGACAGAGCTCAGGGTGGTGGAAAAGTCATCCTTGAGCTCCTGAGTCAGGTCCTGGGCTTCTTCCTTTTTGTGATCCATCAGCCACTTACGTCTTCTGCATTAGCAGAGACTGAGACTTGAGCCTTTGTCTAATTTACCAGTCACTTGCCTGGGAAGTGACAATACTGGGAAGCGAACCCTGAATCCCAGACCATGGAGCATATGCACAGGCACTCTGGGAACCTAGAAGGCCTCAGTTCTCCTTAGAGGAAGGAACCTCTCTCCTAGTGAAATCAGAGGAGACCCAAGGAAATAGGATGGGGTAAAAAAAACTCAGAGTCAGCCCTCCCTTTGCAGGCTACCAGGCCTGGAAGATTCGAAAGCAGGCCAGAACTATGGGTAGAAACTTTCAGAAAGCTGTGGGTGATGGATTTTTCACACAAGGAGTAGAAACACTCCCCAGCGATGGGCCCTGTAAGCCCAAGGACCATTCTCTGATCTGGATGGATTTGCGTTCAAATGTCTTTTGCTGGAGCAGGTTCCCAGCCTGGCTCGGTTTCCACAGGAGTTGCCCTGGAGCTAGCTGCTCCTTATCTGGCTGGCGGGTAGGCTGTACATGGGGCCAGTCTAGACAAGGCCCCACAGAGTGGTAGCTTTGACTCAGCAGCAGGCTGTGGGGCTGCCAGGTGTTCTCACAGGGGCAGGGACAGTTGAGCTTACCCTGATGTTCCAAGTCACCACACACATATTCCATTCTGTCCTGCGAGGCTGGTAGAGCTCATAGTGCAGACTACCTCTTCAGGAAACCACCACAACTCTCTCACCCCAGCACACAGAAGAACTCAGCCAGGTCACTGCTTGGGCCCACAAGTCTGGATCCAGTCCCTCCTGGCTGCCTCAGGAGACAGGAAGGGTTTTTCTTTGAAACCTAGAGCCAGAAACCACTGCTTGTAAAATCTAATTTTGGGCAATCATAAACTAAGACCAAAATCCATAGCGGGAGGGTCTGACCGACCTACCATGAACCTAGCCAGTCGGCACCCCTATATTCTGCTCAAACCACACTGCTAGCCCGATGTTCTCATCATCCCTAGTCCCTGCTTCACGGAGCTCCAGCCACCCAGCCGCCACTCTGCCCTGTCCATAACAGTCTTGGTGACTTGCTTAGTTCGGCCCATCCCCCACCTGGTACAGGGTCCTTCAGAGTAACATGTGGCAATGTTACCCTTAAACTGTGCAGCACAGTCTCCCAAGAGGGGCTGTTCCAGTGCCTGGGCGGAGGATCTCTCCTGGGAAAAGAGAAAAGCTTTGAGGGCACCTGCATGGAAGTGAGCCCTAACCTAGGCTCCTCTGCAGGTGTGGGTCAGTAGCCTTGAAGATGCACAGCATGCTCCGTTTCAAAAGGGAAGGACCATGGGAAAAGTCAGGTAGGCGAGAAAGAGTAGGACCTCATTGACTCCCCACTCAGGTGCTTCTGGAATTAGGGGGGGGAAAAAGTCTTGGTCACTGCTCTATTGCTATGAAGGGACACCATGACCAAGGCAACCTTCTAAGAGAAAAAGCATTTAGTTGGGGGCTTGCTTACAGTTTCAGAGGCTTAGTCTATTATCATCTTAGCATGGGAGCATGCGTGCAGGCAGGCATGGTGCTGGAGCAGTAGCTGAGAGCTACATCCTGACCTGCAAGCAGAGAAAGAGAGAGAGGCAGAAACAGACAGACTGACTGACTTACTGGGCTTGAAACCTCAAAGCCCTCCCCCAGTGACACATTCCAACAAAGCCACGCCTCCTAATCCTTCTAATTCTTTCAAATAGTGCCCCTCCCTGGTGACTAGCGTTCAATTATAAGAGCCCAAGGGGGGCCATTCTTATTCAGACCACCACAGTGGGGAAGGAAAGGAACCATCCCTGATCTGCTCTGTTTGGAGAGATGGTTTTCTTTGAAGTCCACTTAAGATGGCTGAGCATCTACAAACCAAGTCACGGCCAGTGTAAACTCGAGTTAGGAAAACAAAGATGCCCTGGACTGTGACACCATCATCTATGGAGCCAACATCTTCGTGTACCTCCAACGGGAAGACACCCCCTGGCACCTTTCCTGTGGTGGCTCTCCTGAGTTTCCCCAACCCATGCCAAGTGCCATGGCTTCCTCGGCCATGGGAAGGGGCTGCCCTGGAGTGTGCAACAGCTGCTGCCTTTTTGAGCAAAGGTTCCTTCCTGGCCCCTCCCACCTCCCACTCTGAGAAAATGAAAGCCCCTCCCCCCAGTGGGGTGGGAGATGCAGGGACTTAGAGAGATGGATGGAAAACAAAATGAGACCCCCACATTTGCTTGTCTGCCACTCGTCCTCCCTAATCCGAGCTCCTTTGGGGCTGCCTGCCAGTCTGGGGGTTCCACTGTAGAGTGTGGCCACTGGCCCTTCACCCAGACTGTCCTTAGATGGGAGCCAGCCAACAAACAGTCCCTGTGCCTGGAGGTAGAGGCCTCACCTTCAAAGAGGGCATGGATGCTGTGGTGTTTCTATGTCCGCCCATGCTGGTCTGTCTGTCTGTCTGTCTGTCCTGTTTGTCTCTATCCTTTCCAGCCATTCTGGATTTGCTCTCTTTCTTGAGCTTGGACTCTTAGCCTGCTGAAATGGGGTTCCCTCATGCTCCCTGCTGGCCCTGAGGGTGCCGGTCCTCTGCATCATGGAGTCCTGCTCTCCTTTGCCTTCCAGAGGCCTGGAGAGGGATGGCAGCTTCGAAGGCCTCGCGGTGAAGAAACAGAATGGCATTCACCTGACTCTGCCGGACGCCCATGACGCAGATTCCGGTAAGATCGGGATTGAGCTTGGCTCTGGGTGGGGCCGGCAATTGGCCCACAGAGGGGTGGTGGCCACCCTTTGGGGGCAGCAGAAGGAGGTCCGTACCTCCTAAGCAGAGCGAAGCGGGAGGAGAATGGGACAGAAAGCTGGCCTGGGCAGAGACTGCTGCCCCTCAGAGCAAAGCCGTTGGCCAGTGTCTGCCCAGGGTCTGACCCCGGGGTCGAACAGAAAGGAAGGGGCTGAGTTCGTTCCCGCTCGAAACTCAAGGCTGACTCTTAAAATTATTTGTATTTTATGTGCATTGGTGTCTTGCCTGCACGTATGTCTGTGTGTGGGTGTTGGATCCCCTGGAACCGGAGTTACAGACAACTGTGAATCACCATGTGGTGCTGGGAACTGAACCCAGGTTCTCAATAAGAGCAGTCAGGGCCCTTAACCATTGAGCCATCTCTCCAGCCCCTCAAACTGGACTCTTTACTGGAAAACTTATCCCAAAACCCAGGGCTCATAAAATTCAAATAAGATGAGGAATTATAAATGTACATCTTTAAACCGAGGACGTGCTTCAAGTAGAAACCTTCCTCGAGGACACGAGAGAAATTAGCCGCAGGATGGAAGTGTGGGTGGGGTTGGACTTGGAAAAACTGCTCTTATTCCCTCTCCCCCTACCCACCCACTTTGGTGACGTGGGCTAAGCCATGCTTTGTTGTTAGAGATGGAGTGGATTTCACTAGCCAAACCCAGCACTTGACTCCAGAGACACACTGTGAGGCTGCTTGGCTGCTCGGGAAACCACCTTCTCCAAGGAAGGGCATGCTGTGTGTGTGTGTGTGTGTGTGTGTGTGTGTGTGGTGGGGAGGGGGGACCTCTTGTAATTAAAGAGAGAAGAATTGCGTCCAGTTGTCAGGGCTCCCCATGTTCTTGTCTCATAAACTGGCCGCCTGTGGTTTGTCCTGAGGCCTCCTGAGTTTATTGGAGCGGTTATTGTCTCTGAGAAAGAGAAAGCGTTCGTGGTTCACCTGCATGGGAATTTCAAATGTCAACAGCTTATGTATCCTGAGCAGGGCCCACACGGCCCATAACCCCAGCAAGAGAGGTTCTCTGAGGGCATAGGTTACCTGTGAGCTATTGTCCAAGGATCTTTTGCTTCCCAGCTTCAAATGTGTGGGGTCTCAACATCTGTGAAACCGTGTGTACTGTGAAAACAGAAAGTCAAAATCACAAAAGAAAGGAAAAAATCACCCCTCCATTCACCACCTAAGGAAGGGGATTCCTTCCACACACACTCATATTTAGTTGTTGTAATGTGCTTGTGCTTTTCTCCATTCACCTGAATAATGTGACTACCTTTACGTATCAGTGCCGCACAAGCATGTCTTCAGGGCCTTGTGTGACTACACTTTCACTTCCTTTTAATCAGCTCCTATTGTTGAACATTTGGGTAATTTTCTCTTTCCCGTATTAAAGGCAGGAGTCAAATGAGCATCTTTGCTAATGTTTATGATTATTTTCCCTGGGGATAAATCCTCAGTGGAATTTTTGCCAAATTACCCCTTAAAAAGCACACCTGCCCCTCTGTGGAGAGGGGTGGACAGCAGACCCTCCGAGGGTCCGTGAGCTGGTTTCTTGGCAGCTGCCCGGGATGCCCTGACTGCCGTGTAGTGCTGGGCATTGACTGCTCTAGGCAGTCAATGTGGTACCCTGCAAGGGTACCTCTAGGCAGGGGCATGTGGTACCCTGACTTTGCTCAGCCCTATGCCTTCTTGCTCTGCAGGCTCTCGGCGGGCATCATCTATCGCAGCCTCGAGGCTGGAGGAGGCCATGTCGGAGCTGACCATAACAACCTCAGTCCTAAAGCAGGGCCCCATGCAGCTGTGGACCACACTGGAACAGATCTGGCTCCAGGCTGGTGAGTGTCCCCTGATCCATGCTCATCTGTATGGCTGAAGCCACCAGACAGACGCCCAGACCCTGTCCTTGAGGATGAGGGTGGGGAGGTAGAGATTTCTGAAGAAGCTTACATAGACTTATACTCTTGAGTTCTGTAGTTCTATTTCCAAACTCACTTTCTCTCCTCCCTCCCCTCTTCAAGTCCCCCCATCCTAGCCTCAGAGAATGTTTGCACTCAGAACTCCGATACTGGGATCTTGTCTTGGTGCCCCAGGAGAGGCATGTTCCAGAAGAACAAGACCACTTACTTCCCTTTCCCTGAGGTTTCTGCTTGTCCTGGCTGGCTGGCTGGCTGGCTGGGGGTTCTCTTCTTTGCCCAGTGGGGAGAATGCCTGCCTCCCTAACCTGAGAGGTTCGTGGTGGCAATAATATGAGAGGTTTGAGGTCAGGCGAGGCTGCTAGGATAAATAGTCCAGAGGGCGAATGACATGGAGATGGCTGTCCAGGTGACATACCTTTTGATCCCCAGCCAGCACTGTTCCTACAGGCAAATGAGTGCTAGCAGGATAGGTTTCCGGAAGCCCTGGCTGGAGTTGCCCAGATTAGAGTCCCGTGCGTGCGTGCTGGCTGACAACCGGCTAGCCCTGGTCTGAAATGACTCACAGGCAAAAGTACTTTCTATGTCACGTAGTGGGTGCTCCGCAGCTAGCACGTGGCTTCTGGAGCCGCCTTTGGGGTTCATGGTGGGCCAGAGGCCGTGAGGCACCCCCCAGACTGTGTGCTTGGCTCAGAAATGCCAAGAAGTGACTCGCTGGAAAGTGTCTGGCAACTTAACCTGCCCTTGGTGTGGTGGATTACAAGAGGAAAGAAAAATCAAGAAGAGGAGTGAACAGTAGAATTAAATGTCTCCGGCAGAGTCGAGGAAGAGGAGAGGAGATCTGAACCTACACCTGGCCACCCTGCCTTTGTTCTGAAACTGCCAAAGCCTGGGGCCCTGGGGCCCTGTTCCCCTGGCTGGTCTCACCCTCCCTCCTGTTCTCACTGGAGTGGGCTATGATCCCCAAGGAGGGGGACGGAAGAGAAAGCAATAGGAAGTAGATAACCAGTCCCCTGGATAGGCGGTGCTGGCAAGAGTTAGAATGCTCATTAAGGAGAACCCAAGGCTACTCCCCGTGGCCTCTTTCCACATATGGACACATTAGTATGCATCCTGTCGTGGACTCTGGATATGGAGGGGATTCACAGGAAGCCTAGACAATCACGGTAGTAATGATGCAAATCGTGCCCCACTTCGCATCTCAGGATCCCTTAGGATGCTGGGAGCAGCGGGTGGGAGCTGCAGAGTAAAGGGAATGGTGAAGGAGTGTAAAGGCGTGAAAGACTGTGATGCTTCTGCTCCCTTCAGGGAGCTGCGGAGAGGCAGGTGTAACAGAGCCCACGCTGGAGCTCACCGTGGTCGTGGGAACTTCAAGGGCTGCACCCGCGAGCCCCTGCCGGTAGCTCTCCAGGCCTTTTGTTTTCCTGAAGTGTCTTGGATTTGCACTTGGGATGTGTCTGAATGCACCTTGGGTTTCTCAGACGCATCGCCTTATGCTGGGGTAGTGGCGTGCGCCAGCAGTAACTCCAAGGAAAGGGGGAGGCTTTTCGAAACCTGGAGCAAAATTTGGGCGTGACACCGTAAACATCCACCCTTCAGTAAGCCACACGTTAGCCTTTCTGCTTTGGACATTATCCTGGATGTCACTGCACAGAGAAATCTGAGAGCAGCCTCTGGACACAGGGAAGAGCATAAGTCACAGCGGACAAATCGGGCGTGGTCGCAGATCCGAAACTGTCTCATACAAGGGAGAAGCCTGTTTCACCCATACGGAAACGACAGCCTCGGGTGACACTCTGCCATCTCTAGGGCATTGCTCACGTCCCTGTAGTTCACAGTGGCTCCTTGCAACCCTCACATTCTGAGGCAGAAGATAAACATGGAGGGGGAAGTACCCTCCCTCTTCCCAAAAGGACAGACCATAGAATGTGCATGCATCCCCTCATCTCATGATTCATTGGCTGGGGCTCCATTCTCTGACTGTCCCCAGCTGCAAAGGACTCTGGCATTATTCTGCATGTCCCTATGCCTCACTATACATCATGAGATCTGTCCTTCTGGAAGCAGGAAATAGACGGATGTACAGCTCCCATGGCCGAGAAGGGAGAGAGAGAATGTGTCCTAGGTCCCTCATCACGAGCATGTTGGGACCCATTTGCATCCTCTGTCCCTGGGCCGCCATGTTTACCAGCATGTACTGAGTACCTGTTGGAGGCAAAGCTGACAGGACCAGGTCACCAAGGCCACACCTCATCCCCAAACTGCCCTACCTGACCCAGGCTAAGCATATAAAGGTCAGCATCCCCCCCTCAACCCAACCCCACCCCTGCACACACTAATGCTAATAGATCCCGTGAATGTACAGAGAAGAAAAACGACCCTTTATCACTTCTGAACCAGCTCATCCCGAGTTTGGTTTGGGATAAACCGCTGCCGAGTCTGGTCAGTAAGTTCCACCGTGAAACCACTCTAGCTGGGAAAGTTATGCTTTCTCTCCCACACTTACGCTCTCCTTCCACTCCCTCAAGCCCCCCAGCTTTGAGGAGGATTTGCTCTGAGGCTAGCTGTCAGGGGGAGGTCTTGCTTCCTGGGCAGTGGGTCTGTGAGAATGGGGATGCTGCTACCAGACCCATGTGTGTGTTCCGGAATCTTCAGTGTGGAGAGGTCCTTTCCATAACACACACACATACATACACCCCTTCTTCTCACTCCTGGTGGCATCTCTGTCATCATATGGTGTACCAGAGAGAAGGGGTGTGGACAGTGGACACAGAGACTCCCCTGCCCTGGAGGCCCAAGGACTCCTGGACAGCTCTAGGCTCTCTCTGCATTTGCAGGAAGCTGACCTGGTCTCCAGTCCCAGTCACTCATGTTACCTGAGAGCTTTAGGGGCCTCACCCTGCAAGTGGAAGCCACCCCGGGTGTGTGTGTGTGTGTGTGTCTGAATTGAAGTTTGCTAGAAGGTCACACGGAGCTCCGAGGAGGGACCCTGCCTTTCAGGGCAGAGCCAGGCTGACAGCATGTTGTAGAAAAGGGCCGCACAAGCCCCCTGGCTTTAGCCTGCCCTCCCCTCATCCTTCTTCGCCCTTGCCGTCATTCTTCATTCTGTCTTCCCTGGCTCCTACCCTGCTTGCCCCCCCTCTCTCCAACCCCCCCCCCCCCAGTGTGGACGAGTGAGGTCCTGGGCCCTGACTGCACGCACCTCAACCATGCTCTCTGGGACTCAGTGCTGGAGGGCCATGCTCTTCTGTGGAGTCTCCGTGACCCTCTGACCTTTCTCTACCCACATCCCTATGCTCTCTACCTTTATTCTGAGCATCCATATCTCCTGAGGGCCTGCTTCACGGGGGAGCCATGCTTACCTCCTGTGAGATGGATAAAAATGTCCTCACTGTGGAGGTCAAGGCCAGGCAGGGGAGATTGCTTTTTAGAGCAGTGGTTCTCAACCTTCCTGATGCTGCGACCCTTTAATACAGTCCGTCATGTTGTGGTGACCCCCAACCATACAATGATTTCATTGCTACTTCATAACTGTGATTTTGCTACTGTTATGAACGTGATGAAATGTCTGATATGCGACCCCTGTGAAAGGGTCATTGGACCCGCCGGGGTCATGGCCCACGGGTTGAGAAGCACTGTTTTAGAGCTGTGTCTGGTTCTTTCCTGCCCCAGGCCCTGCACGTCTCCCTCCTTTTTCTGAGGTCTTGGCAGGTTCTCACCTGGGAAGGCCCCGAGATCCTGGAAGGGCCCCCTGCTTCTCAGCGTAGGAACAGCCTGGGGACAAGACCCCCCCCCCCCGACACACACACACCCGCTTGTTGCACAAGAGTGTGGAAATGGGCCTTAGAGAGAGAACTTAGCCCCCAGCCTGGGGCCTGGAGCCCTGGTTTTGGCAGGAGGGGCAGGGCTGTGGGAACCAGCCCTGGGTGCAGGGTTAGACCAGGATGTCTCGGAGAAGAACAATAAAAGGGCCGCTTGCAAAGCTCCGGGGAGCAGATGTTTTCCATTTGTACCCTGTGGAGGGTAGCGAGGGAACCGGGAGCCAAGAGGAAGAGAACCAGAACCAGACTGAAGAGGAGGCAGAGCCCGCGGCAGGGAGGATAATGAGACCCGAGCAAAGAAGAGAGGAAGAAAGAAAGAGAGCTGGGGGAGGGATGAGCTCTGGCACTCAGGGAAGAACAAAGGTTTGCTAGCTGCCCTCGATAAGGCTAAGCTCGGAGCAATGAGCACTAACCCAGCCCTGGCCGGGGGAGCACACGGGTGTGGGCATGGTGAGCCTGACAGCCAGGAGGAAGAGGATCCAGGCAGTGGTGGGCACCATGCCACCAGGCTCCTGCTGCAGTCTCGGCTGGCTGGCCGGCTGGCTAAGAGCACCATGTTTGGTAAAACAGCAAGCAGTTTCGGAGGAGGGCACCTGCCCAGAGGACGGAGGGTAGGAAGACATGGTCCATCGAAGCCCCCGGAACCTGTGCGGCTGGTTTCAAGTCCGAGGCCTTGCCAAGGAGGCTGGACCTGTGTGTGAGGGGCTGTTCACAGCGCGGCCAGAGCCCTCAGGAGACCTGCCTCTCTGACTCGTCGCCTGGCTTCCTGCCTAAGTGATAGAGAGACCCTTCGGAGAGCAGAGTGGCCCACTTACTTCTCGGGGAGTGGTCCTTGGTGTGTGGCTTCTCGCCTGGGTCCAGGGCCTCAGAACGCCCCCGGGGCCCCCCAGCACTAATTGAAATCTGTTGATATGAGGAGTACCCAAGGCTGGGACTAGGGATAGTCTCCTGGGGGCCTTGGAGGCACAGGGCAGCAAGTTGTAAACAGCTTAATGAGCCATGGCGGAGCCAAGTGGGCCCAGTGAAATCTTAGTGAAATCTAGGCGTTAAGAGTATGACCCTGGATCCTCAGGGCTCCTATCCACAGAGAAATCCCCCACAGGTGCTGGTGTGTGTGTGTGTGTGTGTGTGTGTGTGTGTGTGTGTGTGCGCGCGCGCGCGCATCCGCCCTGCACCAAGCCTCACCCGGCACCTCTCTCTCCACTGTCCCCTGGGGGTTCCGCCACAGTGGAGCCTGCCTGCAGGTTGGCCTCTCCCTTCTCTCTCTCTACCTGCTCAAATGTGAGCCACACCTCCCCGGCCACACCACAGTGGCACCGCCCTGGCCCGCCCTGGCCCTGTAACACCCCGAAATGTGTCCTGTCATGTCACTGTCCTGGACCCCTCAAGTGTTCTGGTGGCTCAGTTGCCACTACCACGTCTTTCCCTACGGGTGGACTGGACGTGCAGTCGGTGTTCAGTATACTTGCGTAGTCTATACTCGGTTAGGAATACAGCCTGTGCAAAGGCCCCGGGAACAGCTTGGCTGGAGAGCAGGAAAGGGGAGCCGATAGGGAGACAGCCCGATGGATCGCTGACCACTGGCCAGCCCCGCCCTGGGAGGTCCTGGCTCCAAGCCCCCATCTCCTGGTGTCACTCTGCCTCTAAGGAGAGGAGCCTTGGATGTCTACCTGTCCCTGTAACCACAGCATGAGAGTTTGCCTCCTCTGATTATCCCAGCTTCTTACCACATTAGAAGAAAAAAAAAAGTGTTCCAAACGCTCTCCGTCATATTTTGGGATGAGGCAAGCTGATTGGATTACACAGTGAACTTTAGGTGGCCTTCCTGCCTAGGAACCCCTACTGATGTCTACTACGGTTCTTAGGCTGCCTTCCTGGCGGGCAGAAGGGACGCCCGAGTCAGGTCTGCCCACCTCTCCCTGGGAGTTCCCACTGGGGACGCACGCCTGTGACCTGCCCCACCCGAGACGTGCTCTGAACTGGTGTGACCTCAGCATTCAGCCCTGCGCTGGGAAAAGCTCTTGGCTGAGCCGCAAGCCAGACTCCCCTGGCCTCCCGCGCTCCCCATCTGCGTTGCCATCCTCCTGTGACTTCCGTATGGGCACCAGCTCCGGGAGGGGGCAGCCGAGCCCCAGCCCCAGCCCGGGGAGCTGCTCGGAGAGAAAGGCAGAGTGGGCCAGCGAGCCGCGGCGGCGGCGGCGGCGGCCGCGTTGCTAAAAGCGTCGGTGGTGGGCGGCGAATGCCTGTGCCGTGCGGGGCTGAAATGCGCAGTTCTGTGGGCTGCCTGGAGATGGGAGAATCGGCACCTCTTCCCCTAGATCTGCATGAGGAGCTAGCGGATGCTGCCTGCTGGCCGCAAGGGGTGCGTGTGCGTGTGCGCGCGTGTATGTGTGTGTGCACGCGTGTGCGTGTGCGTGTGTGTGTGTGTGTGTGTGTGTGTGTGTGTGTGTGTGTGACAGAGTTGGAGACAGGCTCGGGGGGAGGGGAGGCCAGTCCAGCCTTTGGCCTTTCTAAGAGGGGCTGCGCCACCGCCACCTCAGCTTAACTGTTTATAGTGAAGATCCTAATTGCGTGCCTCCCTCCAAGACTACCTGTAAGGGAAGCTGGGGCTTGCCCCCAGTTGGCCTCCTTAAGTACGGGTGGTAGCATGTCACTGTGCCACTTGGTTTGAGCCTTGTGTGCCTCCTCAGAGGCCCCAGATCTCGCTGCCCCCATCCTTCACAGGACTTGGTACCCTCCAGGCCTCCGAGCACACTCCCACCTCATCCTGAGCATGCCAGGGCCTAGCAAGTCCCTCGGCCAATCTGCTTGGACGGAGAGGCCTCCCCTCCGGGAGAGTCACCAGGTCTGTCCCCATCCTGTCATCCGCCCACAGAAGCAGTGGGCAAAGGCAGTGGACAGACACCGAAGCGTGTCAAAGACACGCAATCAGACATTCAACCCCGGGCCACGCTATTCCCCGCTTCCGGGTGGGTCTAAAGTCAGACGGCCTGGCACCAACCCTGCCTCGATCAGTTTCTCTCTCTATGCCGCTGTGGGTTTCTAAAGTGGGGTGGTGAAAGCGCTTTCTCCAGGGTCTGTGTGGCACTGGCCGAGGCAGCTCGTACCCAGCATGGTGACTGACAGAGTAGGCACTTAGAACCTGGTACTCAGTGGCTTCCTTATTCTTCCCAGCAAGGTAGCCTTGTGCTATGCCTTTCTTGGCTCAGGGATGTGGGCTGGGGCCACTGCCTCTGACTTACCCACCCACCCCTCACACTTCCCTCGGCCCCTCTGTCTTCACAGCTGAGCTGTTCATGGAGCAGAGACACCTCAAGGAAGCGGGTTTCTGCATCCAGGAGGCTGCTGGCCTCTTCCCCACCTCCCACTCAGTGCTCTACATGCGAGGCCGGCTGGCTGAGGTGAAGGGCAACTTGGAAGAGGCCAAGCAGCTGTACAAAGAAGCGCTCACCGTGAACCCGGACGGCGTGCGCATCATGCACAGCCTGGTGAGTCCCCCTCCCCTCCCACCACCTCCTTTCCCATCTCTTCGCCCTTCACACCAGCACCTTGCTTGCCGCCGCCACTGCCGGCATCTCTAGGCTTCCTGCAAGCTCTGCTGTGAGGGGCGTCTGTATGTGTCTTACAGGGGTGAGCTGTTTCCCGCCCACCAGAGTCTACATTGATGGGAAAAAAATCCAGAAGGGTTGGTTGGCATTTTTTTGTGTGTGTGTGGCTTCCATATTGCTGTGAAATTCTAAATGTGTGATCTATACCCCAAGATTCCATGGCCACTTGTTAGAGCCTTATCCTGGGAGCTACCCCAGACTTGAGGCATTTCCCAACATGCCTTGTATGAGGGTCCTCAGACTCTTCCCCAGACATTGGGCTGCCTCTTCCATTCATTCCATGGGAGCTCTGTGTCCTTGGAGGACTCAGGGTTCTCAAGGGTGAGCCATGTCAGGTCTGGCATGAGTGGACACTGAGAATGGCCCCGGGGTTGTAAGAGTCTACCAGACGCTAGTTCTAGAACATGGATTCAGGACTTGGGTACCAAGGGCACAGTGATACATCCACACCCATGGGTGGAGAGGTTCGGTAGCTGAGAAGAGCTTGTCCTGTCCCAGCTACCTTCCGCCTTGGGTGATCATGGGTAGGTGAGTCACCACCTCTGAACCTTAATTTTGCTTATCCATCCGGTGAAGGGTCTAGGGTCCAGGAAACATCACTGTGTTTTTCTTACTCTGGTAGAGTAAGACTCTACAGATGACCTTTGCCCCCTGCTCTCCGTAGCTGCTTCCGGAGAACGGAGATCAGGACAGATGGAGTGGTATGAAGTAAGCCCACCTGCTGAGGCACAGGTGGTCTCTGAAGGACCATTTCGGAGCCCACAGTGAGCGAGGTCCTGTTGAGGTCTGGGTTCCAATGGGATGCCCCCTCACCTTGAGAGTGGCTGTTGCAGTGTCCCTGACATCTGGCACGTGGAGATCACAAGGATGGGAATAGGGTGAGGTCAGAGGGTTTCCAATGCCAGAGGGGAACTTAGCCCCGACAAGAGGCCATAGGAGTTGGTTTTCAAACTGGGTTTAAAGAGTGTGGGTGTATACTCAGAAATCACTTGGGAGAATGGAGGAAAGGCTGGACCAAAGCATCTTTATATCCTTTCTAACCCCAGCAGTCCCTGAAAACAGAGCCAAGCCTGTTTTCCTGCCCAGCCCTCGTCCTGCCGCCATGGTTTCTCCTTCGGCCGTTTGCATTTTGAGCCCCAGATAAAGAAATCACAGGCCACAGCGTCACACAGCCCTGTTCCTTCCCATGGCTCCCTCCCGTCCTGTGGTCAGCCCCGCTAGCTAGAGTTCGTTTTCCTACAAGGCACATCCCCTTTCCTCCTGCATTTCAGATATCAGCTTTGCCTCACTAGGGGTCATGTCCAGAAAACCTCATTATTGAGGAGGGCTGGGCTGGCGTGATTCGCGAATGCCAGTCTGCAGTCTCAGCCCCAGAGCCCAACAACATCCACTAACAAGCACCGTTTTGAAGCAACAGCGTACCATTTTTCATTTATGCTTATTATTGTTTGTAGCTATTTTCTTGAAATGGAAGCGGTTGCCAACCATGGGTTTCCATGGTAACCGAATAGCTGTCCAGAGTCGCTCCCTGCAGATGTTACTGAAGTGGTCCCTTTTTTCTCCTCCTGGGGTGCCTTGCTGATTTAATGAAACTGGAGCGAGTCGGAGCCAGGTCGCCCACTCTCGGTTACCAGTGAGCAGAGGGGCAGTCGGCTCCTGCGTGGGCAGCCCATCCCCTTTCCACAGGCTTTGTTCCTGCCAGCCCTCCCACACATATGCATAAAGAATAGCAAACTGCGAGCCTGGAGAAGATTTACTAAGCATATTTTCCTAAAGACGTGTGAATGCTTTTAGCATGTTGATCTCGAGTGTTCCCCTCATCCAAAATGCCTTCCTTGTTCTGGCCTGCGACTCAGGACATCTGGGCAGGCGCTCATCCTGGCTCTGGCCTTGGTTTACTTGGGTGACTTAAGAAGAGACTTCCCTGTTCCCAATGCCCCCTTTTGTAAATGGATAATAATTGTCCCCAGACTATAGTGGTTTTCTAATCAAATGAGATTGTGCCCATGAAAGTCTGCAGTGAAGTGGGAAAGGAAGAAAGACAGCGTACAGACCACTCTTCCCCAGCCCCCTTCACTGACAGACATTAGTAATCAATCATATCACTGCTTTCCACCGAGCATCTGTGGAGCCTGGGCTCTTTTTAAATGTGATATAACACAATGGAAAATAGTTCTAGTGGGTTGTCAGCTTGCTGTTTCTACCGAGAATTCCTTGTGACAGTATCCGTAGAGAATGAAAGAGACATCATTTCGTGTATTCTGGAATAGATACAGCCTTAGAGAATTACCCAAAGAACATAGAGGGGTGGGTACTGGCTCCCCACCATGAAGCCATTGCCAAGGCAGGTCCTAGGGAAGACAGTCTAGCTATTCCAACACCACTGAACCTTTACATAAACTCAGCCCGTAGTAGGTGCAGACAGGAGGGCTGTCTTTCCCTGTGGTGTTTCAGCCACGTACAAGCCTGGGCTGGAAAATTCTTCTGAAGTCCTGGGGAAGTCCCCCTTCCCTGGGGTCTGGAAAGAAGGGGGTGGGGATATTCCTAGGGTACTGTGTAGGGGGCCAGGCTTGACCCCACTGTCACAGGGTGGGGCTGGCAAGCACCAGGAGAGGAATGCTCACTGGGCGCAGAAGCCTGCACAGCTAAGATACTCTGTAGCTCTGTTCCGCCATCATCACCCTCCCTGGAGGCCATGGGGGAGCTCTTCCTGGTTCTGACTTCACCCTCCACACAAGTTAGGATTCTGCACCAGACCAGGCGAGAAGGCATTGCCTTCCTTGGTAGTTCCGTGTCAGGAAAAAGAGAAAAAACAGAAACACCCTACTGTGCCCACAGCAGAGTCCAGAGCAGTGATCCATGGTTACCCATGCCACATTCAGGGGTTCCCAAATGGAAATCAGACCACAGGGGCAGGTCGAAGGAGTGTCTGCCAGGCAGTCTCCACCTTCCTGCCCCTCCGGAAGCCCTCAGCTGGAGCACTGGACTCAGTGTGTTTGCAGAAGGATCTACGTGAGAAGCCTGACGTTGCCCGCCCCACAGAGCGTGAGTAGAGAAGCAGGGCCTTTGCCAGTGTCCTCAGAGGAGGACTGATCTTCAGGGAGGCCAGGAGGGACCCCGGGCTCTCAGCAGCTCTGGACACCTCCAACAAAAATGGAACACAGGAGCCTGGACAATGGCCAACGGACTGGCCATGTCAGTGAGGGCCCTCCCGGGGGGTGTTCCTATGTTGACACCTTAACGGGTCATCGGTCATTCACGAGGTTTTAGAGAGGTGGCCAGACACAGGAGGAGGGCCTCGAATCTCTAGGGACAGCAGGTTTGGGGAAGACAAATGGGAAGTCAATGGTGGGCAGAGGCTCATGAGTGAGCTCGGCTGTACACGTCCTATGGTGCCGTTCTGGGGCCTGTAAGGACATAGTGTTGACCTCTGTAACCGACCTTTGTCCCTCTGGTAGAGATGGAAGCGGGCTTTGTGAATGTCTTTGCTTTGGGGCAAATGGGCAGAAGGCAGAGGTTTTCCTGCGTCGGCTCCTCTTTAGCGGCCGTTGGCTCAAAACAGCCTTTTTGCCAAGGTGGCCTGTGTAGGGACAGCACATTCTGCAGCGCTTCAGCTCCACTAAAGACTCAGCTCGCCTCGGGAGGCCCCACTCCCTCCGCCCTCGGCTTGCCCAAGGAGTTCAAGGTGCCCCTCTGCTCCTGGGACAACTTGAGGCCCTCGGCCCTGAGTGGGTGTTCATGGGCATGCAAGGGCTTTGTGGGTAGCACCCGCCTTGCTTTCCCAGGGGTGGACCCCAGAGACACAGCTTCCTGCTCACTTGGGGATTAGCTGCAGGCTCTCCCAGAACCTCTCCGCCTTGGGCACCGCAGTCGCGGTGGGAAACTCTTCTATACCAGCTTTGGCTCACAGTCTAATGCCCAGAGATGCAGCTTGTGCAGCCATCTCTTCTTCCACATGCCCTGGGAAGGCAGGGAGGTAGCGCTGTTCCCAGCTCTCTCCTCCTTGATAGCAGGGGGACTTACTAGTCTCCCTCATTGATCCACTCCTTACGGCACGCAGCAGCCACACGAGGGGGATCAGAAATGGCCGTGACCCCAGAGACATCTTTGCACGTCTTCCACAACTCTTGACGCCTCCCATCTACGGCACCGAGGACTGGTTTCTGAGGCCAGAGAGGTGGACTCTGCTTATAAAGGCCTGTGTGGCATCCCCACCCAGCCATCCCAGTCCTGGAGGAATGGTACTAGATTCTAGGGGTAACAAACCAGAAATGGCCAGCCTTGCCCACCCACAACTTAGAGCTGAGGCATTATGTCGCTTGCTGGGTTAGATTTTTTTTCTTCCTTATGTTACGGGGAATAATGATTTTGGTACTTGTGACTTCAAAGCATGTTTTAGGGCTCAGATGAGCTGAAAGCTATGCAGAGTCGGAATGGGTCCCACAGTGGCAAGCAGCCTGAGCTCTAGCCATACCTTTATGTGGACTCCTGTTGGACCATATCGTATCAATGTGGGGTAAGGGTCTTTGGTACAAATTGCTTTGTAGTTCCAGGGAAAACTGACGATCGGTAGGGAGCTGAGGAGGAAGTGGAAGGCTAAGACAGAGAGGTCAGAACTCCCTTTGGGACTGCTTCTGGCACTGGTTAGCTAGAATCCGTTTTAAGACCGCAGTTTAGGAGCTGGCTCGGGGAGAGCTGGCCCGAGGTTGAACCTGGCTTTCAAGTCCACCTGACCTGCACTTGTGGTCCACTTTGCCTTTCTCACTGTTTAACCTTGGCCAAGGTTCCTTCACCTTTTCAGAGGTTCAGTGTTCCTGTCTGTAAAATGGGCATGGTTGTGCCTAGCACACAGGGCTGCTGTTAGAATGACGATACCTAAT